AGATAACAGAAATGAGTTCATTTTGTTTCGAAAGTTTTAATTCTTGTGTCAATGCAGTTGAACAAAAAATATTTGTTGAAAAAAACCCATCGATTGAAATTAATTTACCTTCGTTCTCTTTGAATTTTTCGATTTGATCCTTTGTGATTTTCATTTCACGATAAGTAAATAATATTTCTTTACCAGATTGAAGTAATTTTTGATGTTCTCGAATGAAATTTTCTGTCAAATCTTTCATAAAATATCGAAATATGTAAAGTTGATCGAAGTCTTTGATTCTCAATGCTTTATTGATGATTTTATAGAGAAATGATTTTTTCAGATACCATTGAAGAGCGTCTTCTGATCGATATTCATTTTTAAATTCTTCAATCATTTTCAATTCTTTGATATTATCACGATAATAGGAGCGACATACATCGATCATTTCTTGTTTAGCTTCTTCATTGTATGTTAACTGAAAGAGAACATCATGATAAAGTTGAAACCAAAGAAGATCAATAGTTTGTTTTGATAGATCTTTTATCAAATATTCATCTTGATCCAAGAAGTTGAATGTTTGTAAATGTCGATGAAGAAAATGAACTTGTTCTTCGATTGATAAACATAATAGATCAAAATCATTATAAATACCAATCAATTTTGAATTTGTAAAAACTAAATATTCATGATCAACTCGTTCCCAATTGAAGATAAAGATACTGTCAATTTCAGATAAAATTTCAAGATGTGATGATATTTGTAATATATCAGAGATTGAAGAAACGAAGAAGATTTTTTCATTATCAATCGATTGAATAAATGTAATGCAAGATTCAAGTTGAGTATGAAATACAATATAATCATTAATTTGACGTAATTGTTTCTTTATTTGTTCTATATGATTATTAGATTCCATTTTTGAATCGAACCAAATCAGAGTAATGTCTTCTTTATTACTTGTTCTATTCATAATTTCTAATGAATTTTTCAGCATAATTAGAGCTACGATTTTACATCTGATAATAATAAAAGAAACTCTAAATTTTCATAATAAGGAAAATTTTTGAATACCTACGACACTCACCGATGTCATTGGCATCGGTGAATTCTCTTCAGTTCCAAGTGATTTTCGATCCGAAATATTCTTTTTCATATTGCGATACATATCTATCTTCTCACAAATTTTTCACTATCATGATGATATCACATTTAGAGCAATACCTAGATAGTCTTAGAGAACTTTAAAAATATCTAATCAATTTTCTAAAAGTCTAATCTTACAATGATGATATAGTTTAGAATATAATAAAAAGTATTTTGGTTCAAGAATATTTTTTCATAAATAAAAAGGTAAGAAGAATAAGTCTAGAAGTATGATAATCAAAGATTCAAGAATTTCGATAGAAATATTAACGAATGACTAAAATTAATTTCATTGTTGAGAATATTACTAGATACGACTTGCCTACGAGGTCGAAATGTACAGAATTCGCTTATATATGTTCTTTGTTTAGCTACGTGATGTATATATCATCGGAGGGAAATGATTGGTTTTTGTTTCGAAGTTGTAACTTGTTTATGTATGCAAAGAAAGTATCGTTTTTTTCATCACGTGATTTGACTGCGCAATAGAGTCTCGTCACGCTATTAATTTTGTTCTGTTCGTACGCGGTATGTATGTTCTTCCCTAGTCTTAATCATTTTTCACCACCTGTATATGCGCATCGTGATATTCTTGAAATGCATTATGATTTATGTTTATGAATAAAAAATTTATGACAAAAAGTTTTTCAAAAGAAATAAATTGAGATATTTCAAGTTAGAATAGTTAATGAGATGAAAATTTTGTATATCGTTTTTCAATTAGTATCATAATAATAATCATAATTTGTGGTGAAAATAATTTCGTTCTATTTTCAATGAATAAGGAAAATATTGTTGTTTCTACATTTAAAAGGTATTTATGATGATGACAAGCATAATCTGACAGCACTACTATTGAGACAATGTTTGAAAATATTGAATAAGTTGACTACTCTGTTTATGATGGACTTAATGTTGCAATGGACGAATACAAATGAAAACTAAAGTAAGTCAATAATAATATCGAGCGAACAATCTATGACGATTTGAAAAATGACAAATATGTGAACCAGCAGCATTTCAAATAGAAATTCAAGAACGTCCATTGAATATATTTCAAAATCTACATCGTATAAAAGCATATTTTGTTGAAATAACATCTGCAAATCATGAAGTATTGAATCGGATAGTATTTATTTCTGTTCCAAAAAAAATCAAATTCGATCATTTATGCAACAAGATACATTCGATATGCTTGTTACTATTAATATCAAGGATATTGTTTTTCTCAAAGAAAATTTTCTATTTGAAATAAAATAGGTTGGCATTTATATGATAAATCATAAGATAATCTTTTTTACATTTGAACGAGATTTAATATTACAATCCGAAAAGTAAATATTCTTTTAAGTAATTATTTTCATTTTCTTAGAAATCGGCTTACTACTACTGCACAATTTTCATCTTCAATCAATATATATTCACATCTTTTTGTTCTTTCACATGATGGTAAATTTATTTTCAGTAGTGGTCATTGAGATTAGTCTCCATATATATATTTATTCTTTGGCTAAATCTAAATTCGATTATTCATCATAGAGACACTATAACATATTTAACATTAGATTCAATAGGATATATTCTTGTTACTGATTCACGAGATATAACTTGTGTTAATTGGTATTTATTATTGAATGATAATCGACATATTATAAATATTAATGATCAAGATACAACATCAATAATTATACTAGAAATGACACTCAATAGTCATACTGCTGAAATAACATGTGTTTGTGTTTCGTCTGAATTCGATCGATGTTATTTCGAGTTCGTTATATGGTACTTGTAGTATTTATACAATTGAACATAGAATTTATGTACGTACATTACGATCAACGAATGCTAGTAATGGAGAAACAGAATCAACACTATCAGTTGTCATCAGACTTATCATTGAAGATATGTTTAAATAAGTATTTTTTTTTTGTATAGTAAATTAAATATCTATAATTTGATTATTGTTATTATTTTTATTATATAATGACTACAATTCAAGTCATTTACTTGTTTCTGTTAAAGATGAAAAATTATTTTTATTTATTGCTATAAAAGAAAAGAAATACTTATTTTTATTGACGGCTATTATAATTTGTTTTTTTTTTCATTTAATATGTCAGATTCAGTAATGCCTTATCTCATCATTGTACATTCTCTTTATTTTCTAATTCAAATGTCTTCTCTTTTTTATTTATCATTTGCATTCATCTTGTTTTTTCTCGCCTTTAACACAACGAGAGAAGGTAACGGATTGTTAAATCGCTTTTAAAATTTTAGTGATGCCAATTTATAGAGCTCGTTCAGTTATTAACTGATGTAATAATCATTCATGCTAATGAGTCGTTTAAGAATGAATTTCTAGTAATCAAAGTTTGCACGAGCCTATACATCTGTCTGTGCCGAATCAAAGATGAAAGGTTGAATAAGGCTATAGCGAGAACCTGTGCGTACTGCACGGTAGCTTTGTTTTTTTAACGTACGATTTCAAACCTTTAACCCTTCAATCGGTAACAGACACCCAGACACTCGATATTATGTACATAGAAGTCCTATAGCATAATATCCTTGTAACGTTAATAACCCATGTAGCCTTATTCCACCTTTCATCTTTGACGCGGCATTACATTAGTTAATAACTGAACGAGCTCTAAAAATTGCATCATTAAAATTTTAAAAGCGATTTAACAGTTCGTTGCCTTCCCTCGTTAGTTATTTGTTTATTATTAGTATGTTTTTTTTTCTTCTGTGCTGATGTTATATGATAGTTATAATTGTTTTCTTTGATTTTATGTTGGATTCGTTAATGTAATTCTTTTAATTGTTTTTAATCCTAGGACTTTAACGAAAATATCTCGGTATCTTTACTACTTTTAAATATATGAAGCATTTTTGCAACGTTTAGAATCCAAAGTTGACTATAAAAAAAAAACAAGAAATTTATCTTTCTTTTTATATGCCTTTATACCTTGATCTGTTAACTAAATTATCGCTTGAAAACTTCTAAATTTTTACATAAGCATATCCAAAATGCATTAGCCATTGTCGGTTATCCTATGATAAAGCAATCGTTAGAAGAATTGAGTGAAAATTCTATACAATCAAAACATAAATGATGTTCGCTTTGTGATGATTACTCTGCTCAACGAGTTTTTTGTATTATCTGCTCTAAATAAGGAAAAATATTATAATTCTAATAATTTCTTTACAAGACTGAAGAAGAAAATAATCTAATTTGAGCAAAAATATTAGTTCAGCAATCAAAATCATAGAATAAATCATATTATAATGATAGAAATCAATATTTTATTTTATTTTTTTTTTTTGATAGGTCTACAAAACTATAGATCCTCAGAGTTTCGTACTGTTTTCTGTTTCTCTTATACTTATTATCAACTCTTGATTTTTGTTTGACATAGTTAATTGTTGTGTGCTTTTATGAAGTTCTTGTTGATGATATCGATCAAAACGAAGAATCATAATAATCACAGATGTCAAACACATAGATATAGACAATAAGAGAATACCAAGAAAAAATGATCCCGTACGATCTTTGAAAACACCTAAAATAATAGGTCCAACACCACCACCAATACTACCAATTGAATTAATAAGACCAATAGAACCAGCAGCAGCTGATTCACTTAAAAATAAACTTGGTAATGACCAAAATGCTGGTAAATAAGCTTTAGTACCAATTGATGCAATTGTAAAAAGAATAATCATTGTAATTAATGATTGTTGTCGAATTAATGTTAAACCAAGTCCAATTGCACCTATAAGAATAGGTATAGCAGTATGAAAACGTCGTTCTTTAGTTCGATCTGAACTAAATCCAATAATTAACATTCCAATAAGAGCACCAAATGGTGGAATCATTAATAACCATGTAAGAAGACCATCATTTAGATGATACCAATCACGAAGAATAGTTGGTAAGAAGAGATCGACACCATAATTACCTGTTACAATAAAAAAATAAGCAATACCAAGAAGAAGTACTTTAATATGACGTAAAGCTTGAAATAATGTTAAATGACCACCAACTATTTGTCCACGTACTAATTCAATTGATAATTCTGTTTCTAATACTCGACATTCTTCTTTACTCAACCAATTTGCATCTTTCGGTCGATCAGTTAAAAAAAATAAAATAACAATACCAAGTATTACTGCTGGTATACCCCAAATAATATACATCCATTGCCAACCTTTAAGTTTAAATAATGTTCTATAGTAGATACCATTTTCAATAGTATTCATACGAAGAAAATAATAGGATATTTTTGGACTAATAAATTGAGCAATTGGTGCAGCAATAAAAAATAAAGAAAATGCTCGAGCTCTTGCTTGTGTTGGAAACCAATGTGTTAAATAAACGACAACACCTGGAAAGAAACCAGCTTCAGCAAGACCAAGTAAAAAACGAATTAAATAAAAATGCCATGGTTGTGTAACAATTGCTGTTAATGAAGCTATAATACCCCAAGTAATCATAATACGACAAATCCATTTACGTGCACTCCATTTTTCAACAATTAATGTACCAGGAATTTCAAGAAGTAAATAACCAATAAAAAAGACTACATGACCAAGAGCAAATATAGTTTCTGTTCGATAATGAAATGATGGTAAATCATTAATCATTTTAAGTTTAGCTAATGAAACATTATTTCGATCAACATAAGCAATGATATATGAAAGAAATAGAAGTGGTAATAAACGCCAATAAGCTTTAATTATAGCAGAATGAAGTAAAGACGACATTGAAGAAGAGATCTTTATCTAGTCAAATTTATAATAATAACAATTTGAAAAAAATCAATTACAACATTCTCCATTATCACTATTATTGAAAAGGTTATCTTCTAATGAAGAGCAAAAAAAAAAGACATCACCTTTGTGTATGTAAATCATTTAATGCAATCATAATCTACTTGATTTAATTCTATTGATACCATTCAACCTTGGGTTTTTTTTTTGTTAACAAATATATTTACAAAATAATAATTTCATATTAGCAAGAAAATGTTTCATCGTATCAAATCGTAATATGGAATCGATAAGATACTTTTTATACTCATCAAATGTAATTTTATTTCATGATATCTGTTGATACACTAAAAAGTGTCATGATATTGTATGTATACTATTCAACGGTGAAATTTGAATCAGAAAATAACTTATCTGAATGAAATTTGATTTACACTAAATTATCGATATAAAATTAATAGAATTATGTTAAGAAGAATTACCTATTTGAATATTGACAATCATAAATTACAAAATGTCACAATGACTTATGTTGAGGATTAATGTGAATACACCAAAAATAAAAACAACAATCATCAGAAGAGATTATAAGAATATAAATTAGATAAAAAAAAGAACAAGCTCAATGAAATATATCAAAGAAATAAACGATCAAAAGTAAAGCTCAGATTTCTTGATCTGATAATATAAATTCGAATAAATTGATTTTTATTTAATCTGTTTAATAAAACGAGCAATTCGTCGTTGATTATCTAGTAATTATTCTACTTTGTTTGTTGATGAAACACTTCCATTATGTGACATTGTTGTAGATGAATAGGTGGCAAAGTTTTATGACGATATGGTACACTATGAGATGATGACATTGGTCGAGCTATCAAATCAGCTGTTGTATCATCAGGTAAACTATTATCATATGTTGATGGTTCACATTAAACGAAGGAAGGATCTTGGTTATGAACTATAGACGAATATTGTTGATTTTATTTGCTTATAGAAACTTTTTACTTACAGCTTTCGCCAGCTATGATCTAGGTCTCAATAAACCTTTAGAAAACGTTATTTTAGTGTTCATGTAGAATAAGTGTAAGCTTTTGTTTATGCTCACCTGACTTCTCGCTGCGTATCGATGACGTAACAATAGGTAAAGAATGTTATATAAATGCTGTGACGAATAAATTCAACCAGAAATCAAAGAAATGATGAACTGTTTTAATATCTACTTTTTCTTCTAAATCTAGATCCTCATGACATATGAATTTCTAGTTTTGAAAGGTTATATAAAAAAAAAATCATTGAATTTAACAACACATTATTGTCTGAATTGTTTCTCTGAAAATCAGTTCGACAAAAAAAACAAACAAACATCTACTTCTAAAAGAATATCTTATTTTTCCTATTGACATGCTAAACAATCAATTCAATTATACAACCATCTCAAATTCTTTCTCTGTTGTCTAGAGCGCTGCGAATCCACGTTTTTCTAGACCCGGACTCGTCCGGGTCTAGGTCTGAACGAATCTGTAGCTCCCTACTATTCGATCTTTACTATTTTTATTTTTATTCGAGTGCACAAAGAGGTAAAAATCTTTGGAAAATGAAAGCCATACAAAAAAAAAGTGAAATCACTAGTATTATTTACGACACCCATTAATATCATGTTCAATTCGTTTATACACTTTCGGTGTAATTTAACATTAAATTTTTTCGAATGAAAAAAAATAAATCGTAGTTTTTAAAATACGTCCCTATTCATGTTCTACGTGATCCATTTGCATTAATTCTTGACGCACTTTATTTATTTTTTCATCGACGTTTTCAATTGTTTTTGAAAAATCTTTTTCGAAAAATTGCTAATTAAAATCAAAAATCTAAATTTTTTATTTTAGAAAAAGAGAAATTCAAAAATCAAGCTTTATGACGACCTAGTCCTAATTGTCTACTGTGTAATAAAAAAAAAAAAAAGTTATCATTTCTATATTGAGTCGTTGTTAAAAAAGGTTTACCAGTGTAGACCGTATACTCGAAAAAAAAAATTTTTAGAAAAACGAAAGATAAGTTTCAACACTGTAATTCAAGGTTTTTTTTCCTCCATAAGTTGATATAAAAAGGATCTTCGAGTAGTTTTTCATAATTCACTGATTAGAATGAATCAAAGTTTTTAGGAAAAAAAGTTAATATTTTCTGTGGGTGAGTTCAGAAAAATCTCTGTAACAACCTTAAATCTTAACATAAAAACAAAAAACTATAATATATTCGAAAGTACATACTTTACTCTATCTAATGAGCTATAAATCACAAAATTGATCAATTTGATTAAAATTGGATTTATCTGAAGGGGTCTTCTTAATGAAATATTTATAAGTTAATTATTATTTAGTATTGTTGATGTTGGCTAATCGAGATTCACTCTAAGGAATGAATATATGAAACAAGTTTATTATTAAAACGCCTAGTTGTGTCAGTACTAATATTACTATTGTACTAATGTTATGAAATAGTTTTAGTATTTTGTACAGTTATGACTATGAATTTTAATGGAATCACTCTATTTCATTATCTGTAATTTTCTAATCTTTTTCCATAAAAAAAAAATCGAATGAAGAAATATTGGCCTAGTGCACGGGTACAATTTTTTGTGCCCGTATCTGATCCACGAGTTGCAGTACTGTGCCTAAAAGGCGAGTGAAGGTGTTAACTAAAACCAAGTTTTTTTTCTTCTACTTAGATGAAGGACATTAGTGACGATCGCTCCTATTTAAAAACATTGTTCTCGGTTTTTTCTAGTAGAAAAGTCTTTAAAATGAACTGATACTATCTCTAGTGTGCTTCTGAACACGTTTTATGATCATGATCGCCCTTACATAAAAATTCTACGTAGACCGGCTACTAGATCATCTGATCATCTCAATAAATAGTAAGTATTATTTTATTAAAAATAACTTTTCTTCTGTTATTGATGACTCCAATAGGAAGAAAGAAATCGTCTTTTCACGTCGAGACATAGTCGTAGATGCAAATAATACTATGATCAGGTCGGATCACTAGAAATATTATCTGAATAATTGCTGATTTTGATGACATTGGTATAGCTATTGTTCGATACATATATCGTTATACTTTGCGTATGTGGTGACATCTTTTGGTTTTTTTTGAGTGCTTAGGTGTTGTTTAAGTTTTCAAAAATTTATTTGGTTTTGTAGATCATAAAATTTTAGTTATTGTCGTTCTATTGGTTTGTTTTATGTGATGTATGCTTAGTCGTCGATATTAGAATTGACTTGCGACTAGCGAACCTTAAGATTTAAAATTATTTAATGACAATATGTAATGTTCTCTATAAAAACTTCTACTATCTAATACTTAGAAATTTTGGATTGAACAGAAAAATCATAATATTCAATAAAAAGTATTGTGTATCAACTAGATGTTTTTGTATGAGTCATAAATACGAAGTGAAAATAAATGGTTGTTGTGACGTACGTAATTATATATCACGTTCTACTTGACAGAACAATCCAACTATCGTTCTATTCGATTGATGATTTTCACTATAGCGCATATAAATATAAATAAACGTACATACAAAAAGTATCATCATTCGTGTTTTTCATTGAATCGATAAACGTCAATCATGATTTGTACGTCATGTGGTATTCAAATTGTAGAATCGTCAACAATCTACAAATGTCGTCAATGTGTGAACCATTTTGTTTGCAAGGCATGCACGAAGAAGGAGCATAACCGTCCAAGTAGTTCTCATCATACATTAGACAAAGTAAATATGAAAGTGTGCCTGAATGAGTCTAATCAAAATAGTTTATGTCATCATTTATTATAGATGCGTACTCTAATAAATTCGACGACATCAGCACATTCATCATTGACAATGGAAGGAAAATCCGCAGAAGTTAAAACAGATCCACAGGTAAAACTAGAAGGATTTATGTTTTGAAGAAAATTATGAACATTATCAACTTAAGTGTATTTTTATCAAATTTTGTCTAATTTTATATTAGAATATTTGAAGAGTTCAACATACAACTTTTCTCTTTCTTAAGGCACGTTCAACATCGATATTTGCGACTAAAGAATATTTAACAATGTTTTTGTCCTACTGTGATCATTGTTTAAAAGTGCTTGTATGTGGAAAAGACATAATCTTTAATTGTGATCAATGTCCAAATAATTTCTGTATTTGCAATCAATGTCTCTCTCTCATGCCAAATCAACATCCATCGATGCATACATTTTCAAAAGGAACATCGCCTAGTGAACTTTTACAACGTGCTCATGATTTAGAACATTTCGATGTTATTTGTGATAGATGTCGACGACATAATTTTAATGGAATACGACATCATTGTGAACAATGTCAATCCAACTATGATTTATGTGAAAAATGTATTGATACAATACATAAACATCACACATTTAAAATTATGCCAAATTCTTTTCTACATGCTCATAATAATAGTATGCTTGCTAAACGAACTTTGGATGCAATCGCAAAAAATACTGATACTCAGAATCTTACATGGCGTGATCCAATTACTGGATGGACAAAGAGTGATGCTGAAAATATGATACAACAAGCTCAAAAAGAACAAGAAGCATATATTACACAATTACAAAATATTTCAGAACATGAACTAGGCGACGCAAAGAAAGCACAAGAAACTCAGCATGAGCTGCATAGATTCACAATGGATGGTCTAAATGTCCAACTTTCACTTCTGAACGACAAGGTTCTATATCTTCCACGGCGCTGAAGAAAAATATCTAACATTTTCTGAACTGAACACACAAATTCATTGTATTGTAATTAATCTATTTTGTCAAAGTTTTTTTTCATCTATCTTTAATAATTTACGAAAATGATTATTATTTTCTTTCATATATTTGTAATCTAATATTTATAACATTGACAAAACAAATATATCGAATTAAGTTTTTCTTCATATTGATTAATTCTTCTTTTAACAAGTATTGAACTTGTTATCAATGAATTTTGTGAATCTGTCTTATATAGGGTGGAATATGGAAAGAAGAAATCTAAAGATAATTTTAAAATTTTATTTTTCGAAATGTCTTGTTTTTAAATTGATGAATTCTTTGTATAACAATACAAGAGTGTAATTGTGAATGTGTGTGTCTGTATGAGTATCGATGAAGAGAAGGTTCACATCCTACCCTAAGCCAGTCCTGTACTGTACTGTGTTCAGCATTGATATCTGTCACGATTTAACGTGAGTCTATATTTCTAACACTAGAATTCAATATTCCTTTTAAATTGTGTTCCACAAATGCAAAAACATATCAACACATTTACTTACTAATGAATATCAATATACTATTTCTAATTCATCCAGAGGTTCGAGTAATGTATGTTTAACTTTATTTTGTAAATATTCATATCATAAAACGATAATCAGCTGTATCATGTTTTTTATTATGAATTTTTTCTTTGCCTAAGTACTTTATGATGTAATGTTGAAATAAATTCTAAATAAAACGAATGTAAACAATAAAGTTCAAGTCGATAAGCTAATGCTAACTCAGGATTTCGATAGATTTTATCTTCTTCAAATTAGATTTAAAAAAAAAAACTTTTTCTTTTTTTCTTACATCTAATCGTTGTCGATATATATAATAAACTGGCAATTGACGCTAGAAAAATAAAATATAATGAACAAATATTTTTACTTTGATTGCAAGAGAAAATATAACTTGAAGAATATGTTTTATAGTACAAACTTCTCTATAAAATATTAATTTCTTTTTCTTATAGACACACACACACACATACTTTTCATTATACAAATTCGAGAAATGTAGGCGATGAGTATTCTTTTCATGTATATCAATTCCCACTCTTTACTTGAGTGGAAATTTTTCAATAATATTCAAGATAATATCTTTAAAATTCGAAAAATGAATTAAGAAATATTAAAATGACTTTATAAATAGAGAGATCATAAAAGTAAACAAATATTTGCACTTGTAATAAAATAGATGTTTAGATTTTACATTTCTTTGTAATACATCACATAATATATTTTGTTTGCTATAACAATTTACTCTAGTACAATTGATTTTTTTTCATAAGGATTCCCTCTCTGAAGGTTTTTCTATCTTTAGAATATAATATATAAAATATTATATAACATATTAAAGCTCTATAAGTTGACATGAAATATGGAATCAATGAATTTTTACAAAGAAGTTAAATTAACTGTTTAAGTTTAATATACTTCTTTAATATTATTATCAATACTAATCGATTAATTCGTATCATTTACATACAATCTGAATATTTATAGTCTCAATCTAAATGATATGATTGTTTTTATTCTGTCTCAAGAGATAAAATATGAGAAAAGAAAAATTAGTTCTTTTTTTTTCCTTTGTCTTTTAAATCTTCATATTTATATCAATGGAATTGATAAAGATGATTGTTTTTTTCCTATATGGAAATTATATAATTAACTTCTTCTATGATCAATATATTAGTTATTTTTTGTATTGAAAAATATGATATGGTTTTATTATTCAATGTTTTTTTTTAAGAAAGAAAAAAAAAAAAAAGAAAAAAAGACATCATTATTAAATAACATTCCTATAGATACTGAACAGGAAATTATTTTTTTATAAGGAAATTACAATTGGATTTTCAATGAAAGCATCATTATTTCCTTCATTCTTTTGTGTTGAATACTAACATCATCATCATTTTTATCAATACTCTTAAAAAAATAATGAACCAAACACCCTGTGTCTGTTGAAGACAAACAAAGTTTTATATTCATACAATGCATGAAAAAGACTTCCACACATATACACACACACGTGAATAGTAGTGTAATTAGAATCATATAGAATACAAACGAAGAAAAAAAAATTAGCTTCATATTTTATGGATGCCTGCATGTATATGTCTATGGCCGGAATCTCGATCTATTGAACACAGAAACCAAATGTATACATTGTGTGCATCCAGTTAGTTTTCAATGACACATTACAAACGATTGTAGATAGCCGTAAGGTAATTCTCAATGTTGACAATGACCTTTGATTACAGACATTTTCTTCTATTAATCATTACCTGACAATCAAGAAAAGAAGTAAATCCTAAAAAAATTCATATAAAGCATACAATTTTGTACTTCTATGATTCTCTTGTCTCTTTTTGTTATAGCCAACCATTTTTTTTTTCTATCTTCGTTCTTGTCTTCTATCATGATGAATTGAGATAGAGAGAGAGAGAAAATGAAGGAAAGGAAAATAAATAGATAGCACACCCATCATATACACATCGAGCGTCAAAATGATCCACAATCGGAAGTGACACACTTAAAAAAATACTTTTTTTCTATATATATATATATATTAAAGATCGTGTCTCTCTCTCTCTCTCTGTCGATCTCTTTCGTCATTATCATTGTTGCTTTTTTTTTCTATTATTTATTCAACATCAATTCTATTGAGTTTGACGGTGAGATTAAAAAAAAAAGAATCTTTTATTACAATAATTATGGCTGATGTTGTTCATCGTATTAGCGAATTAACACATACACGTCTGTCATGGTTTGGTTGTTCGGATGATGATGGATGTAATCGTCTAAATCATCGTCATACTGTTTTAATGTTATTAATCTTTTCGGCTGTACTTACTTCACGTTTATTTATTTCGGATTTAATTATTTGTTGGACACCTGGTGAATTTACAGGTAAATTATTTAATTCTACTTTAAATTAAATTCGAAAGCAAAAACAAAAATTATTTATATTATTTTTTTGCTATTGGATTTATTGACTGACAGTTTAATTGAATAGAGTTCAACTGTTGTAGTTGTCTATACACATCTGAAAGGATAAACAAAAGAGTATCTATTTAAACATTAAACAATAGTATATGACAGGTTTGACACATACATCGATGATGATTATCATCATTATGAACAAAACGAATAAATCTAAGGATTGACATGACATTTGATAGCATATCTATTTATGTATCATTGTGAAAATCGCTTAGGGAATACTATGAACTTTGAATGAGGTAACTTAATTTTCTTTCAGGAAATTTTGTTTCATATACACGTCATTATTGTTATGTAACAAATACATATTATATATCAATGAATGAAACAATTCCAACATTAAATAATTCTCATATACGTCGAAAACGTTCAATTTATTATTATCAATGGTTACCAATATTACTTGCATTTCAATCTTTATTATTTTTAATTCCACGTTTAATATGGAGTAGTTTTAGTTCACGTTGTGGAATTAATTTACAACATTGTTTATCACCTCAATTTGATTATCGAAAAAGTCGTTATAAAGTTCATAATATAACAACAATGCTTAATTTATTATCACGTGCTAAACAACATGATTTTAATCGTATATCAACAAATAATAATATAAATAAAAATAATTTTCGATCAAATATACAATTTTTTAAAACATTTTGTATTCCATTTCTTTTTTTAAATGAAAATCCATTTCATGGTTATTATTTAGTAAATTTATTTCTTATTGTTAAAATACTTTTTTTAATTAATTCATCATTACAATTATTTTTTTTAAATACATTATTAACAAAAAATTCAATTCTTTATGGATATGAAGTTATTGATAATTTTCGTCGTGGTGAATATATTGTTGGTTCAAGAATATTTCCATTAAGTGTTTATTGTGATTTTAATATTATTAAAATTGGTCAACCAACAATTTATACAGTAAATATTGATAATACTTTCTTTTTTTTTGTTAGAATAAAAATTTTTTTTTGCTTCTTAAGGTTCAATGTTTATTACCAATGAATGTATTTAATGAAAAAATCTTTACTATTATTTGGTTTTGGTTAGTTTTTTTAACAATAACAAATTTAAAAAGTGTTATATTAACAATAATACGTAATAGTTTTCATCAATTTAATTATTCTTATATAGCTAATTATTTAGATTTATTTTCAAAAAAAGAACGTTTTAAAAGACATATACTTGTTAAACGTTTTATATTTAATTATTTAACAGCTGATAGTATATTAATATTAAGATTAATATCAGAAAATATAAGTGATTTATTAACAAGTGAAGTTATTCATGAACTTTGGAATGAATATAAAAAATTATCAAATTTATCATCAACAAATCGTGAAAAATATCAACGATTAAAAACTCTAGGTCAAACATCAATAGATGTTTTAACAACAAATAAAAATATTCATTATCGTCGTTGATTCAAATAAATCCTTTAAAATCTAAAAAGAACGGAATGCTTATCACTATGATGATAGTAATTAAATGTGATGGAAGATTTATTCATGCATATATTAATTAATACTTTGTTGAAATAACACTATAAATACGTTATATATCCATAAGGGTAATAATTATCTTCATAGAAGAGTGGCAACAAACTACAAAGAGATTATAATATTGCTTACGAGAATATTTTCTCATACATTACCTTCTGATTTCAATAGTTTTTTTTTTGTTTGTTTGCCTATAGATACTATATACCAAATGGATCACAAAAAAATTTAAATATATTCACTCTGCTCGAAGGTATTAGACTGACATTGTTTTTAATTAATGTTAGACAAATGTTCAAAGTTTGTTTTTTGTTTTTCATAATAAAATTGTTAATGAGCATTACTTTCAATTTTTGACATTCACTTCAATACGATAGTGTAACATTCTATATTGATATAAAATAACATAAACAAATTCATTGATGCGTATACTCGATCGTCTCTTTCGTTCTGTGATTCAGAAATTAGCTTTTCTTCCATCTTAATAACATCACGTGTACAATTTTCTAATACTGATGATCTGATACCCACAACTAAAAACGATACAATTCAGATAAAGATATTAGTGAGACTTTTGTCTTCATCAACACAAATTCCATTTTCACAAGTGATGGAAAAAGTTTAACGACAACGTATTTTTGATTTTTTTTCTTCCTACATTATTAAGTGTCTAGTTAAAATCCAGATGAACTATGATGGTAAGGTTTCAAATCACAGAAGACTTTATTGGAGCATTTTTTTTCTAACAACACCATTTTAAAGAACATAAAATAAGAGGCCGCACATTTTCTATGACCTTCCGTGGAAAAGTTAAGAGTATCAAAAATTCGACTAAGAAATCTTTTTCTCCGCGAAAGTTTTCTGGGATCTAAAAATCTTGCTGTCATGGTTCATCTGAATTAGAATGCATTAGATAAAAAACTTCATTGGTTATTAAAAATTACTATCTGGATTTGAGCTAGATGCTTAATATTACAGAACGAAATCAAACATACGTTGTTGCTAAGTTTTTTTTCACTCTCTTTATCTTTCGGTTTGAGTTTGTAAAGATGAATTTAAGCTGTATATCATTCATTGCATAATGATGTGCAGAAATTTGAATTTCTTGGCAAGTAGAATTTACCATGTTCTCACTGTGACAATCTTATCAATTTTTTGATCAAATAACAATGATTCAATTAATGTTGATCCCCAATGTGAGATTCTTGTCTTTTTATGGATAATCAGCAGCATCTATTGATTTGATAGAAATTCGTTTTCATATTTTAAAGTTCGAGAACTATGACGTTTCTTCCTCAAATCAAACGCTTGTAATCATGTAAGTATCTTTGTTTCATCAGTTCGAATAAAAAATTTTTCATGAATAACGAATAATTATTTTGTTCATAATCGAAGATTTATAGTTTAATTTTTTCTTGTTTTCAAAAGAACAACAATGACTTGTTTTTTAATTAAGAATAATCTTCATTTGTATGTATTTCAGATTAAAATTCAAGGAAAATAAAACACAAAATTGCTATTTCATCTTGTTTTGTGTAGTGTTATGAAATCAAAGTCGATCTGTTTTATTAATAAACAATGCATATATAAAATCATGTTATTAGCTTAAGAGGATCATCACCTCTCTCTCTCCTTTTTCCAATAGAAAAGTTTTAGATTTTTCATTTTTTATCTTCTGCTCTATACACTGGACATATTTCCAGAATTAATCGATAATCTTAAAAGATCAAATATTTTCACTGAAAAGTTACACATTATTTCTCTGTTTTCCAAAAGTTTAAGAAGGAGGAACTTAACCCTTTACCCCCCCCCCCCCCCCCCATAGCGGTTTCAGAACAGCCACTGATATGGTCTGATCCACCGAATGTCCTGCTCCTAGAGTAGGACGGCTCGATAGATTCAGCGATCATATGGTAGAAAAGGGGAAATTGAACAATATCATGAAACTTGAGTTTTTTTCTTTAACTACACTATTGAGTAATATCAAAGAATGCATGGGTTTTTTACACGTGTTGTCAAAATAAGAGTCTTTTTTTTGCTGAAAGCCATTTTATGATCTCAGAAGAAATTTAACTCATAATAAATACTATTTCAACTTGTCATAAGGTTTATCGGACAGAAATTTCAAAAGATCTCTATTGTCTCTGGGTATAGAATATTTTATTTGAAAAATTTTGAAAGCCTGATATTTCAAAGATGGAGCAATGAAAAAAAAACACTCTTTTCACCAATTGATAGTCCATGATGTTTACTATAACAAAGGTTCTTATCGTTTTTGAATCCGACGCTTCCTTTATTTTCTGCAATGTTTCTAAAAATGGAAATTTCAGTTGCTAATGGGGGGTAAAAGACTAACTGATATGTATACATAATAAGACATGACCTATGATTTTGAAAAAACATTTATTAAATAACTATATAATATCAAGCATAAAGATGAAATCCCTGTAACTCAATAAATTTTGTATAATTAATAATTGAAAAAAAAAGACAATTATAATGCTATTGATATCAGTTATCACCCAACAACAAATTTTACTGTTCTCGATTGCATTCTATTCGAGCAAAACATTAGTCAGATTAGTTGTAAAATGTTACTGTAATAAAAAAAAACGATAACTCATATCTAGTGACATCTAACATTCTAAAATAAGTGTAAAAAAAACGCACGTCGCTAAGTAATAGATTTCTATCATTCATGGCAATGATAGAAAATAACAAAAATATATTTTGGAAGAAAAAACAAAAGCAAAAAATATCTAACCGATGATCAAGTTTAACTCCGTGAGTAATAAATAAATAATAATGTTAATTATATAAGCTTTTTTCTGTCTTAATATGATACTATTTGTTGAATATCATAGTCATAGTGAAAACTAATTCAGTACGAACATTTTATAGTGACGAGGCCTCAGCATGAAATTCATTTACGACTACTCAGCAATATGAAAAAAAAAATATCAGTCATAATCCTCCATGACAATGAACATAGTTAAAAAGAAACTTCTATTGATCAAAATTATTATTCCTTCTACTTTCATATGTATTTATTTGTTACCCTATCGTCTATATGAAAGTTCATTTGTATCTTACTAAAAAAAGAATCATTCTTTTTTTTTTTATTCAATGAAGAATATATTTACTTTTCATTCTGTTTAAAGTACCCTTGAAAAATTATTTTATATAAGACTTCGATAAGAATTTAAACAAATAAAAAAAGTTAATTATTAATTCTTCTTTTCTTCTGATAGAAGCCATTGCTTGAAATTCAAAATAATCAAACAATCAATCATACACAATATATTACAGTTCAGTCATAGAATTTTAATAAATCTTGGTAAAAATTTTATTTTATTGAATAATGAAAATTATTCTTAATCAATCAATGGATCAATAACATAATATTTTCATCGTCGTTGAAGTAAGTTTAGAATTAAAATAATCAAATAATTACAAACGAACTTTATTTTAAATTAGATTTTTTATATTTTGTCAAACAGGATCTAAAAGAGTGTTAAGAATTCATATACTGCTTATAATACTTAGGGGATATGATAAGGTATTCATAAACATTGTAATCTATAGTATATTCTTAGGTAAACTTGTATAATGGTTTTTAAAACTCAAATCTATACAGTTGCAGGTGTTCTTCAATTTTCTGTAATCAATAGTTTTCATCATTACTTACTTCATACTATATAAAGGGGCCGGCATAGTGACGATATGTTAACAACACCCAACAGTCCTCTTTAAAAATTTTTATATAACAATAATCAGCACCATATATCTTATGAACTGACATAAATAACTCCTTGTCTATAAATGGAAAAATATTTTTGGCCTTCAAACCTCTGGAGGAGAGTACAGGTTATAGGCTTGCTATTTTTATTATTGCTGTTTCAAATTTTTACTTTTCTTTATCCTCGCACTCCTTCCAAAGAGTCTGGAGACCAACAAATTTTTTTCCATTTATAGAAGAGTTATTTATATCAATTCTTCAGAGATGCTGTACTAATTATTGATATATAAAATATTGGTAATAGGACCGTTGAGTATCGCGTTAAAATATCATCAACATAGATGTTATGCATGAAACATATAGAGCTCGGTAATATGCAATTTTTCAGAAAGTATTATGTTGGCACTCATATGTTCTATGATACAGAGTTTAGCACATTGGAATATCATATAGTCAAGAAATATCTTAGACGTAAGAAAAGAGATCGATTAGAGAAAATTGAAGAGTACCTATAACTGTATCAAATTAAGTTAAAAAAAAAATTTACATAAGTTTATCTTAGTGACCATAAAGTCTATTAGCATCATATTTATTTCTTAAGAATTATAACTAGTATATGAATTTTCAAAACATGATATTTTTCATAAAAGTTAATTTTTTTTAATATACCATTCGGTACGCATCTACACATGATTACAATAATATCTTTCATCATCGACATGCATTAGTAATAGGTAGGAATTCATAAGCTGAAATATATATTGATTGATCTTCTTTTTTTACAAAATTTTTATAAGAAAGAAATTATGGTTTAACAACTCTTTATATATTCTTTAGACATCATCGAATTTATTGGTATAAAGAATCTTATATAATTTGATATTCTGAACAGGCACATTTGGCTGTGATGTGTCACTCATACTGTACAAATATATAACAAAAAAAAAAAAAATTTTATTTTTTATTATCATTCAAGAGATTTTTGTTTTAAATATTATTTTGCATTTTCATTGTTTTTCTAATTGAAGATTAGTTGTAATATGGCATCAAAACTTGATCGATTTTTTAATCCAAAAGATGGAACTTATGCAAATGTACCAATTATACCAGTACATCCAGAAAAATTTCGTGGAAAACGATTATTTGGTACTAAAGTTCTTATTGGAAATTGGTATGAAGATCAAAC